AATTGCACTTGGCATTGTTGCAGTTGCTGTTGCAATTGCCGTTGTTGCAGCAAGAACCTTTCGAATCCATGTGAAGGCCAACTGCCAGCTGGCTGAATAGTCAGTTAGTTCGCTGACTAGTTGTTCGCTTCCGGCTTTGCTGCCAGTTCGATTGTAATTATGCCGCCGCTCAACTTGTTGGCTAATGCGTTTTGCCATTGCACTTTCTAAACCTTGGCGCTGCCAACTGGCTGCCAGGCCGTCCATATCAACAGATGTGAAAAGCGCATTAGCGAAAAACTTTTATCAGCTACTTGCCACTCACATTGCCACCACTCTTGCCCTTAAATGTTGCACATTATTTATGTATAAGCCATGTGCTGCAACGTAGAGCTCTTGCATATTGCACTTGGACATTGCCACGTGTTGCTGATGTTGCAGCAAGTGTAGCACAGTGCTGCATGCCTCAAAGCAGTTTTTACACGATATCAACATGCGGTAGATTGATTGAAATGATTTAATTATACATCCATTCCCTGATTCTTTTAGAAATTAATTTCTATACATTACTCATCTCAGGATTTCTTTGGAAATTTCTTAGAAATAAAACTAGGTCTCTCATATATCATATTTAGTGCTGTCTTTACCTCTAAAATTATAGAGAAATATAGAAAAGACGCCTGATATTCCCATTTATATTGAACATTTCGTAACAATTCCTTTTGTGTCTCATAAAAAAAACAATCAAAAAGGCGTTTTGCAGCTGAAAAAGTAATTGAGAATGTGAATGTGTGCTGACAGTGTGCCGTGATGCTGTGTGTAGGCAGGCAGCGCGGTTCGTTGTGTTTTATAGTGTGCATTGGCCCTGAGGGGCTAAAATAGGCGTGCAAAAAGCATTGTGAATGCATCTAAACCACTTACCATGTGCCACAGCCACAAGCTGCAGCAGCCCGCAATTCTAGATCCAAATGCTCATACACATCCTTATCTACTTCATTACGAATGCAATGCAGTCCTTTGTCTCTTGTTGCATCGCGTTCTGCTTTGTAGAGCAATTTTAATTTCCGCTTTCACTTTGCCTAGATTCAGTTTTTGTTTGCTGCTGCCCGCCATCTCGTTCAGACTATCTGCTCTGCCGCTCTCCCTCTCAGTCCCTCTCACTCTCTTTTACATTTCTGTCTGTCCTTGTCTGGCCATGTATTTGCTGATTTACACTTTAGAACGAGTGAGTTTTCTTTTGGCCACACACAAGCACGCATGCAGCTTTTCCTTTTCGTCTTCCATTTTTCCCTTCCCCATTGAGCGAGCAAAAAAAGGGACAAGCGCCAGCAGCTGTTTTTCAATTTTCCGCTTCAACTGTTGAAGCAAATGTTGAGCAACTTATGTAGTTCTTCGTGCTTATCTTTTTTTTTTTTTCTTATTTTTTGTAGTCTTGTTGTTGTCCTTGTAGAATAATAAAACAATGGCGCATGAATATGCAAGCCGCAGCTTCTACAACACGTAAATCTCTTTTAGCTGCTGTTTTCCATTAAAGCAAAAATGCGTTGAGTACCAAAACTATTTGCGGTAACTGTGTGTACATGGAATTGGACAGCGCTTGGAGAATTCAATTTTCTATTTTTTTCTTCCTTTTACTTGTTTTTTTTTTTTTTTTGGCCAGGTTTATGTGCAACGCGCTTGGTGCTGAATAGCAGCTGCCTGAATAGCTGCCAGTCAGGTAATTTGCGAAATGCGTTCTTTTTTTGTTTTTGCTCTATTTGGGGGTCCGGCTTGCCTTTTGGCTTAACGCTGTTCTTTTAGTGGCTGTGCAGTACCTTATTATGCGAGCCGCAGTCGTTTACATTGGGGATTTGCATGTGTGTGTTGCATACGCGTGTGTGTGCTTGCGTCCTTATCTCAGCTGAGATTTAAGCTACATATAAAATTTATGCGTCTGTGGGTTTTTACACATATGTATTTATTTGTGTGTGTGTGGGTTTTTCTGGGTTAGTCCATGCTTTGTTTTTATACCCTGTAGTCATAAAAGTTGCACCAAAGGGTATCAAAAAGTTGTATTAAAGCGAGCTGCAGACACGCAATGCCTCGAAGGCTATGCAAACGGAACTGGCATACAATTTTATTTAAATTTGAAACAACGTTTCTTTTCATTTTCTTTCGAATCCCTGTTGATATGTTTACTTTGTATATTAAATGAGCGTTAAATAATATTCGCTTAAAACCCATTTAGGTAAATCACTTGGTGAAAACCCATGCTTAACAGCTTAGTAGTCTTGGCGACTCAGCTCTTGGCCTAACCAAACAGCAACGCTGCAATGACTCGAATCCTTGCCAAAATTGGCTTTCAGCTTGAGGCTATTTTTAAGTAAGATTGACAGTCTTAAGTAAAAATAGCTTTAACTGGGAAGTAATGAGGGGAAAAGTCTTTGCCCAGGGCAGCGTTCACTTTGTTGCGAAACTTAAGACTCGCACATGATTGAGATCTAACAAATTTACACGGTTTACTAAAATATTTCCTAAATACTTGTATTCATCAGGGAAACTATTTCCTTTGGTTATATAAAGTCGTTAACATGTAGCTAATTGAGTCGGATTTGAAGGGTATTTGTTAGTTACAGCAAACGAAGTAAGCCTGCACATGTGCACAGCTTATGAATGGCAACAGTCTTGCTTGGCCTTAGGTGAATGCTCTGGAAATACTTCGTTAAGGCAGCTTTTGGCAATTAGAGCCTTGGCTTTGCCAAATGTCAACAGTCAAGGGAAACGCCCAGTATGAGAACCAATAAAATATTGCTCAGGCAACAGCAGCAGCTGATGGCTCTAGCAAAATTTTGCCATTGATTGACTACAAAGCAATGGCAGCGCCACGCCCATGCCGCCCACACGGCCTACAACGTTGCCATTGTGCCTAGTTGGCGAAAGTTTTACGCCTAGAATTTTTCATTCAACTTGGTACTTTTAATAAGCAATTTGCTTAAGTGCTGCGCTGCCTGTGCAATGGCTCCTCCTGCTACGCCCACGGCTTTGCCTACGCCTTCGCCTTCATCCCATTGTCAATATGACTAATCATGCATATATTTCACAGCGAGATATATGCCAGTTCCCTCACTCTGCTCTGCTCTCTCTCTCTCTCTCGCTCTCTGTCTATCTCTTTTGGCTCTCTTACAACCGCACAGCTGTCAGCTCAAATTGAGTCAAGCCACAAAATTCACTTTGCATTTGCCAGCGGCGTCAGCCGTTGGAGGATTATTAAAATTACGCATACGCCGCGTTTTAAATGAAGTGCCTGCTGCTGCGAGTGTGGGCGTGGGCATGAGGAGCAGGCATCTCTTTGGGCCACCTCAGCTGCTGCTGTTGCGTAGCGAGTCAGTCATAAATATTTTGAGCTCATTTGCTAGTGAGCGCTTAGCCCACGCCGATTTGCACGAAATGTATTTGTGGAAATTAGTCTCTTGTTTGACTAAAAATACTCATAAGCTGCAAAACAAATTGCCAAAGGCGCACACAAAAGCAAACGATAAATAAAATGCGATAAAATGCGGAAACATATTTATGGCCAGCAACGAGATATTGCTATTTGTCTAAACATTTACCGTATTTCAATGTATTTAAAACGCAATTGAAATAATATATGTGACATAGAAGCTAAGCGAATGCCTAGCAACTGAAAGTTAAATATTATTTGCTGAGCATAAAATTTGGAGTTGCTGAATGAATGGCATTTGTAGATAATAGATCTTGAGCAGGCAAAAGAATGGCTAAATAAGCTGAAGGCATATGAAAATAAATGTTTATGAAATATCTCCATAATATTTAAATTTACAAATCAAACTGTTGTATTCACATTATCTTCTTATACTTATACTCGTGGCTTATACTCAACCTGAGCATCTTAAAACTGCATTCTGGCATTGCTTATAATAAATAATAAACACAAGGTGCTCAGTCATACTGAACTTAGATATCTAAGAAAGCATTGTTAGTATTGGTGTTCAGCCTAAAAGACCAACAAAGAGTGCTGCTATTTTTGTTAAATACATTTAAACCGTTGTTTATATTATCTTTAACACTATGCTGAAATATTTATATAAAAGTTGGCAGCTTGCCAAATGTTTAGTTATGATGCAATCACAGCAACTCAGTCTCTTGCCGCATGCTCATCAACTGGCCGTCAAGATTATGTGATTTGACACCTCTCGATACTAATCTCAGCAGGTACATCAAATCTTAAGTTGACGCTTAAAAGCGCAACACTCAGGAAACCAGATGGACAGCATTCAATTACATTGAAGACTCCAAATTGCAAGCTTATGCTAACAGATATACATATATATATATATATATATATATATATATATATATATTTATATATTAATTTCCTTCCCTACATAAATATTATTACTTTTATTTAGCTTTTATTGTGCTTTAAGGGCTTATGTTAATGAACATAATTCGAGATATATACTCGCGTGCCTGTTACAAGTTTGATCGTAAAAGGGCTTACGGACAGTTGGGGTATAGACAAAAGACGAGTCAATCTATGCAAGCAGCGGCATCCTTTTTCGTTTTAACGACTTTGCATTGTTAGGCATTTTAATTTTTATGAGTACGATTTGGCCAAAGGCAAGAAAATTAGGCTCGATTGCTCGATTTATTTGCCGACACTGCGCCCCCGCAAGCGGCCAAATGAGCCGTAAAAAGGCCAAAACAAAACCAACAGCAGAAGCAGCAACAGCAACAACAGCAACAACTACGTCAACAAAAGCAGCTCGTTTCCGGCAAATAGCCCAAAAATATTGTTGCGCCTGCGGTTTTGTATGCTGAGGGTTCTTTTGCTGTTGCTGTTGCTGCTGCTGCTGCTGCTGCGGCTGCTGCTGCTGCTGCTGTGCATAAATTAAACTGTATAATGCGTAATTTGAACGGGCCAATCGAGAGCCTGGCATAAATTAAGCATGAATTTTGTATTAAAGCGTTGCGTAGCCGATGCGATGGCATAAATTAAATCATTTGCCTTGCACTTGCAGCTCATCGTGGAGATCAACAGCCATGTGGCGCTCTTTCGCGACATGCTGATACATGTCGGCCAGGCCAAGGACTGCCCGGAGCTGCGCGAAAAGATACGCAAACTGCGCCGCACCTGTGTGGAGGCATTCAAGCACACGGCACAGATACTCATGCCGCAGGTCAAGAGGTAAGCAAACAGCCATAGACTCATCATGCCCATATCCCCATACCCACAAAAGATCCCAGCCTCATTCGGCGCCAGACCAGAGTAACACGCATCGCATTAACATAAACATAAACATCAGCATGTGTGTGACATTTTACGGCTCACATTTCAACACCCTATATTAGTTAGAATGACTTGAAAGAGTCTTCTGTTTAAGGAGATTTAGATTTATTTTTTTAATATCTTAGAATTTTTTAGTATTAAAGATACAATTTTACAATGATTTCATTATTTTTCCGCTCAAAAATTTCATTGAGTAGATATAAAAAAAATTTGTTTAAATATTTGTCATTTAATTACTGTAACATTATATATAGATTTCACGCATATTTATTTTATTATACATAAGAAATATATAAAATATAAGAAACATGTTGTTAAGCCATTTACAGGGTATTTGAAATTCACATTTCCTGCTTGAATTTCAGATAATTTTTGGTTGAAAAAGCTTTTAAAGTCGTACATTTTATGAAAATGTATGCAAATTTAATTGCAGTCAAATTTACAAGAGGGACAACAACCCACCCAAAAGGTATCCGTGTTAGCAAAAAGGGCTAACATAAATAACAATTTGTCGCTGTTGCTGGAGTCCCTCTTGCCAGAGAGTCTCGCACTCGCTCTCGCTCTCTGCCAAACATCCACTGCAGCAAGTGGAGTTCCTAAAATGAGTTAGTACTGTTTTGCCATTTGAGTTTGAGAATTCAATTTCGAGTGCTGCATAATTTAGCAGCATGTGTTTTGTCGGGTTTGGGGGCTTAACTTTTTGGACAGTCGCCGTGGGCAACGGACACAGAGCGAAAAGTTAATAACATTTTGTTTCACAACAAGCTGGCGGGCATAACACAACACACACACGCATGCAATTTCTTTCATTAAAGCTGTTGATGAAAAAATCTTGTGTGGGTGCGTGTGTGTAGTTTTTTTTTATTATTTCTCTGGGAAATAAGCCAAGCTCTTATATAAGTAGTAGTCAACACAAGTCAAGTCAAGTCAAGAATATCTGAATGCAAAAGCAATTGCTTCGATAGAGAGGTTAAAGGCAAGTAGATGTTTGTAACGATGTAAAGGAAAATGTTGTTTAGAAATAGATAGAGATAGAGGCCAGTAATTCAAACTTTGCTTTACTGCACACTAGAGTAAGAGCTCAAAAGTCATTTTAGCTGCTGAATTTGTGAAGGCTGTAAATAAAGCAGCTACGAACTTAACTAGTCATTGAATGGACTTAGCAAAATAAAATTGAAATTTCCAATTCGATTGATCTTCATAAGAAAACTGCTGGAAAACTTTTAAGCTACTTATCAAAATACTACTTTCAGTTTATATTTCAGAAAATACTTATTGTTGTGATTGAGTTGATTTTATTAATTTTATTTTGTTTATTCCATTATTGTTCGGCAATATCTAGTTGATTATTGTCTGCATTTTCATAAGCTGCTTACATTTGATTCAATTTTATATTTTATTTAGCTGAGACCATTCATATTTTTTGGTTAAAGCTCCTCAAATATATATCTGCGCGCAGCTCATTCGTAGGAAAGTCCTCGAGTTATTGATTTATGCTGTCGTTGAAGTATAAACCGTCACAAAATGAGTTCCCATGTGGCTGTCACACATGCGCCATTATCACACCCAACCAAAACTCACGAGCCCCAGACGGGCTAGAGAAGAGAAAACAGCTTTTTAAGAAACAACTTTAGCGAAAATTCATACACAATACATAAAGTATTTTCTTTTTTTCTATCATTTTTCTCTTTGTAATTTCAGTCACAAACTCAATAGAACAAGCTGTCAATTGGGTGTGCTGACGGTGTAGGCGTGGGGTGTATGTTATTTGGGTACAACTTTTTAAGAACACCCTATGACAATGTGATTTATTATTGAGCGGACGCTTTAAATGCCACTGCAGCACAGCAGAAATGTCAATACACAAAAAAATTCCGAGCATCAGCATTTGTGATTATTGTTGTTGTGTATGTAAACAAGTCAGAGATCAGAATTCCAACTGCACAATGCCCTGTTTAAAAACTATAAATATATACTTTAGTATATAAACGCTTGTTCAGACGAATTACTGTATGTCTATAAAAGAAAATATTCATAAGAGCTAACACAATAGCAGACGAAAATGGTATACCAAACATGTATTCAATGAAGTCAAATGTAATTGCTTTGCACAAACAGACATTGAGACAGTCAGTGGGGAAAGGCAGCATTGTCAATAAGTAAAAGACTCTTTTACCCTTTGGGAACAGTTTACAAAGTGCAAGGACTGACAAAAAATCAACTTTTGGCAGCCGAAATTGATGATTGGCTCTGGCTGTAAGCCAGACAGAATAATAACAACAGCAACAAAGTAGCAGCAGCAACAGCAAATACAATGAAACTGACACAAGAGATTTCAATTAATTTTTCGGCTTTAAATTGGACACGACGAACTGAGAAGCTGGCCCCCAGTGAGATACCCAGCGGCGCACACGTCGTATAAGTGATGGCAATGAATTAGCGGCAGCCGCAGCAGCGGCAATGGCTGCGACAGATCAAAGCGCCAGCCCAGAAAGTTAAATTGAAAGTAAAAGTTCAATAAAGCAAAAAGTAAAGGAAAGCACGAGAAGAGGCAAACGACGGAGAGTAAAGTTCAGAGTGGGAGGCGAATGCGTTGGAAAAACTTTGAGCGCAACTTGACAATGACACAGACTAAACTTTCTGACAGTGTTTCGTTGTTGTTTTTATGTTTTGTAAACACATGCCTCGCCATGTGAGGCGGGCAAAGTCACAAAAGCAAACAAAAGGAGAAAAGCAGCTGCACACAAAAAAGCATAAGTATGTGCTTCCAGGCGGCATGACGAAGCTGATATACTCTAGTAGAAAGGAAACCCCATTTTTTGTTCAGGAACGGATTATGGCAAAATATATATTTATATTTTATTTCTCTTAAATTTATTCAAAGTTTGTATTAAATTTCAATTTGTACAATCTTGTCAAACTTTAACAACATTTTTTTGTATCCCATTTGTCCTCACCTTTGCACACGTATGTGACATTTGGACTGTCCAAAGAAAATGTAGCTATTTATGCAAAGCTTCAATGGGTAGCGAAAGCCCCTGAGTGAACAGTCTGACAAAGTTAATAATACCGTTCCCCTGGTACGCAAAGGGCCAAGCAAAGAAAAAACAAGTTTGCTTTTACCTCAAGTTACCTTGATGCAGCGGATCCATTCCACATTCCGCATTCCAGCCTTCTACTAACTTCTCGCATATTCCTCGCCATCTTCTACCAACTGCCACCTGGAACCTTCACCTGTCACGCCCCCTGTGCCCCCTCCCTTACATATGCCTGAGTAGGCAGCACTTTAGCCAACTGCCTTAAGTGACTGATAGTTGTTTGCATGTTTGTTTGCTCGGCCGTACACAAACACATTTCTCGACGCTCAACGCTGCGTATACGTGTTCCAGTTCGTCTTGCTCGTGGCCCGTTGCTCGACTGCACTCATTTCACATGTTGTATTTGCCGTTGTTGTTCCTGTTGTTGTTATTGTGTATTTGTATATTCGTGTTTGCCTAACAGTTATGTGCAGCAACAGCAGCGGCTGCTGTTTGTTGTTGCTAAATTACTGTCGCTGGCTGCCATTGTTTTAACTGTTATCGTTTGGGATATGTTTTGACAGCCAGTTACTCAACACAATGCCAACAGCAGCAAGCAGCAGTCGTCATGTTGGCTTAAACGCATTTCCTCTGCACATAATCTCCCTGCCATTGTCATAATATTGCCACATCCTTGACGACTACCAACTGCACTGCACTGCGAACGAAGAACAACAAGAGACGCGTCCAGCAGTTCCTCAGGGCACAATGCCGAAGCCAAAGCCAAAGCCAAAGTCGACTCCCGTAGACAGCATTGATGGCGATTGTCTAGCTCATAGCACACTACTACACATATATTTTGTCAGAAGTTCTTGTTTTCCGACACAGTAACTGCTAAATACCCAGTGATTCTAGATAGTTTCCAAAGGGGTTGCTTATAAATATGAAAAGAATTAAAGGAAAATAGTCAAAAAAGCATTGAAATTTCTTGTAATTTAAATTGTAAATCTCAGGGAATATTCCTCTTAACATTTTATAGGATATCCACAAGGCAATCAGCCTCATCTGTTAACTGCTTCCTTTGATTCTCGCTGGTCATATAATTTCCTATTTTGAAACTCAATCCCGCTTTTCTGCAGACATGTGAGAATGATGGCAAATTTATTCCGAGTGTCCGGCATTGAATGGGGTCGTCACGTAGCCAGATACTCTGCACTTTTACGATAGCCATAAACCACGAAGAGTTTTACAGCTGCCACCACAGCTGCAGTTAATAATTTCGATTTGTACATTCGCATCGTATCTCGCAGTTGAGCGCAGCTTACGTACATCTCCATTCGCCAAAAGCCTCAGCTCAGTTTTGGCCCTCTCCACGCATAATTGTGCAATTTTCGTTAGAATGCTCGTGTCTGCCATTTTCCATTTTCCGCAACGCCATTGTGACCCAGACCGGGAGAAAAAAAAAACTCATCTTGAGTTTAAGTCTAGCGCCATACAATAAAAAATATTTCACTGTTATTCGCAATAAATGAAAGTTACGTCCAAACTGTAATCAACAGCAGCTGCTGACAATCCCCCGACAACAGCATCCAGTAGATTGCTGGATTTCCTTTACTTCATACTTTTTTCTTTGGTATTTGCTGCTACCAGTCTTTGGGCTTAATAAATTTACTTTTATGATTACGATATGAGCCTACCGCAATGTATTTTTCACGGTTTTTAACTTTAGCTATAGGAAAAACATAAGCTTGATTATAAGCATATAACGAGGACGGTTTATAATTATATATTAGTTACTTATTTCTTTAATTTTGGTTTCTTTTACTAAAGGGTATTCCAGCTTCGATAAATTTAAATATAAATATATATAAACATTTTTCTAACTTATTATGGCGATCTTCTGGATGTGAAAATGACCCGCATTAATGTGCATAGCCATGAGCAGCAGACAGAGACAGAGACAGAGACAGGGACGGAGACGAGGAGGGAGACAAAGATAGCTACAGACAAGGACAGCGCAACTGCTCCTAGTTCAAAGAACGTAACAGGAAACCATAAAAAGTATTCCCTTGTCCTTCAAGCAGAATAGAAACAAAAGAGGGAAACACGCTGTAGAAATTAATGTTAGCATTTTTTAAGTACATTAAACAGTTGCTTCTATTGAGGCCATATGCTGCACAATTATGGAAATTAGTTTAAAAAAAAAACAAGAGAAGTCTGCTTCTAATGGTGAAACAGTATTTAGTTAAATTGCTCGAGATTATAATCACTTCTAATTATAAAATATGAAGCAGTTTAAGCTCACAAAAAAGTTGATTAAGTACATTTTATCCTAATCAGTATTCAATATAATAAGCAAATACCAGGGAAATCGATATGCCCAGCTCCGAGTGCCTGACTAATTTACCTGGGCTGAATATACATAATTAACTCTGGATATAGTAGAACACGCAGTTTATTAAATGCTCCACTCACATAATTATCCCTCTTCAATGTGACACATGCTACTCCCTTCCGCCTTCTGGGTTAAATAGCAACATTTCTGTGATCTTAGACGCACACGTTTAGCAATCTGTTACCAGGAATCAAGTTTCACACGAGCAACAGACCCAAAATGGAATCGCTTTAACTAGCTACAGTAGGATTCTGACACACACACATAGACGCTGCCACACGCACACAGAGTGAGAGATGAACAGGGACACCTAAGGCAAGATTAATTTGCAATTTATTTGCTTTAATGGTAAAAATGGGCGTTGACATTGGCAGAGTGCGGAGTGTGAGTGCACAAGGACAGCTGTGCTGGCGACACTATAACACTTTCCATATTCACCGTTATTGTGGGTGGGCTTAAGGATTCAAGGATTAAGGACTGAGCAGGCGACTGAACTGCTTGTCCGACAAGTTGGTAATTTGGGTAAAATATATATATTTTTCATTTCCAACTACGTATTTATACCCTGTAGGCTTATAAATACGTGAAACAGGTTTGCTTATCCTAAAAAGATAGCTTTGTGCTTCAACTTATATTGAATCACTTTTCAGCATATAAATCTCTCATTAAAAACAATTTAAAATAATCATTAATTTTCTAGTTACTTTCTCTATCTCTTTTTCGCCCTCTGTGTAGGGTATCTCTCTCGGCCAGTTATCTCTAGAACAGCATTCCAACTTGCTAGTTAATAGCCATATCTGAAGACGTCCTATTTCTCCTGCTTTTGGCAATGCAAAAGCAATTTTACAAATTGAATTTATTTTCATGCTGCAGCAAATATGTTTATGGCAATTTATATCGTATTTATGTGTCGACTGTCGGTTCATAATTGCTCTGCGAACGTCGCAGTTCAGAATTAATGCTGTGGATGCCCAACTAAGCACCAATTTACAGGACAGAGCAGCTGTAAATTCTCAGCATTCCTTGAATTATGAGCATTTCACGAGGCAATTCTAGAGCTGCTATATAATTGGTTTTTTTTTTCAAATGCCAAATAAACGATTTAAAATGATTATGTTCATGAAATTTAAATTATAATATTGGGCATTAAAAATGGAGATTATGGAAACGTGATCTCTTCGTAGCCAATTGGAATTATATAAAAATATTAGGAATGCTCTTAAATGCTTATTTTGGTTAGTTAGTTTGTTGGCAACTACAACAGCTTATAGCTCAAGCCTTAAGCAACAGTTGTAGACATGCTCACAGAAACCTCACAGTTCTCAGATCTTAGTTAGTGTCATTAAAGCTATAATCTTGCTGCTTACTTAAGCGCCTAGGATAACTCATTAACAGCTATCTGCAGCTTTAGAGCTAAAAGCTATAATCATGCTGAATAATGAAGCTCGCCATGAATCTCGTTTAAATCTCAAACAGGCTATTTAGCCGTATCATTCTGCTATAACATAAGGGCTTAAACAACTATGGCCGCATTGTCGCTTGGGCCCGCATAACTAGCATATTTATGTCATATTTTTGGGCACAATATTGACAAATATTTGGTCGAACGATACACCTTAATCAATTTTTAAACATTTGCATATCGCTACAAATTCGTTGAACTATTATGCGTTGGGTTGGCCATTGAGTTCGTTTGACCCAAGCACTCACCCTAAACGCTTGACCTGAATAACAAAAATGTCATAAAATTCATATAAATTTCATTTCTCAATTTCCGCATGCAATTTGGTGTGCCACAAAACACACACACACACGCACACACCTACTGCATAGCTATAAATGTTGAAACACATGGATTTACCTTTTGCCTATATTTGTACTTATATGTTTTCAGCGCCATGGCCGATGGCATACTCACCGACAATCCGCACCTGGTGCTGCTCTTCTATATGGCTCAGCTGTTTCTACGTGAGCTTGTGAAAAGCTATCGACTCATACAAGTTGTACCCATGGATATGTCTGGCTATTATGGTAAGCTTTAAAGGCGCGCTTAGTATTGGCAAATCTCTGTGAGTGTGCGTGTGCATGGTGTGTGTGTGCACTGTTTATTTGTCATTGCAATTCAGAGCAAGAACTGCAAGTGCTTAGCCATTGTTTGCCATTTGGCAGTTGCATTCCGCTTGACTGTACAAGCTTTGATTGCCAACATTTGTTGGCCATGTTTGCAACTCGAACGTGAGAGTGGAAAAGTTTACTTTGCCCTTTACTCTGGCCTTGACTGATTGGCTCGTCGCATTCGCATTCGCATTCGAGTTGCACTTCAATAATGTCAAAACGCAAATTGCCGACCATAAATTTTTTAATTACCAACCCCACATCCCTCCCAAGCCCGCAACTGTCAACAACGGAAAGGAAATGCAAATATTTACAATGCGAAATTCCTGAGAGCGGGTTGCCAGAGCTGGGGCCTGGTTTTGTGGCTTTGTGGGTTTTAACTGCAGCGAATTTATGGCAGCTAACGTATTCACATGTTGCCCAAAAATGCAGCCCATTGCAATGAAAACGCTATAAAAAATGTAAAGGCCCAGTGAAAGGAAACTCTGTGGGTGCATGTGTGTGTGGGTGTGGGTGTGGGTGACACAAACGAGCCAAGGCTTGTTAAAGGGAATGAACGTAATATTTTATAAATTTATATATATGCGCCCTCAGATTTACTATATATATATATATATATATATATATATATATATATATGTATGGCTAGCATAGCTTTAAAATATGCAATGTCAGCGAGTGGCTGCAGTTACCATAAATCAAAAATTGCAACCGCCGCAATTTAAGCAATACTTTTATCCCTGCGTGTATTGCGTATACGTCGCGTTGAACAATCAAAATCAAATGAAATTCGCTGTGGCACAAAACTCGACATGTTTTTAGTTGTTGCATATTTTTTAATAATTTGCAGTGATGAAGATTGATGCTGATTGAATATTGATGCCTTGAAGCCTTTGCAAAGCACACGCACAGCGAGGCAGAATGTCACGAGCTAGAATTGTGGCATAGATAAATATTTTAAAATAATTATTCATATTAGATATTTTTGGTGAGAGCACTTTTTAGAGGCAAAAATGATTGGCAATTATAACTAAAACATGCCTCCAGACTAAAGCCAAGCGAAAAACTGCTAGAGCCACCTATCAAAATATAAACTCTTCTATATATATATAAAAGCTTTTCTATCTCTATTATTCATAAACTTTTATACTGTAATAAAATATTTAAACATGTTAACAACAAAACACAACAATTTTACCACACACAGTCCACATAAAAATTTAATAAAAAGTTAGCTATTAAATTGCAGCTAGCTATTACATTTAGCTAAAAAGTTCCATTCAACATCAATCAGTTAGTCAGATGCTAACTTCAAAGCGCGTCACAAAATGAAAAATGCTTTTGCCAAGCGCTCAAAATACAGAGAAAATAAAAACAAATCTAATGAAGCAAAATAAAAAACACACACAAATGCCATGAAAATTGTTTGTATAAAATTGAGGCAGCTAAATATTCGGGGGAAAATCGTTTTTATTTACTTTACTGGTATGCAGCCAGCTCTAGAGCAAAGCCAATAAAAATATTAATATAAGCGCAAACTAAATGTTTTATTAGCAAAGTGCACTGAAAGTGTGCAGCTGGTTATTTTGTAAAGATTTAGCTTATTGATATTTTTGCATTAATTTTGTAGAGAATCGTGCGGGCCCATCAAATTTGGGTAATGTTATAAGCCAAATACTATTGTGCAAGCAATTCACGCCCGATTTCAATGAGGAGGAGCTGTGCAGCATTACAAAGGACTCGCAGGACATTGCCATGCTGCTGTCCGAAATGCAGGAGTATATGCCACAGCACGAGGCATATTTGGGTGAGTTTTATGCGCAGTCGCCGTTGCACTATGCACTTTCACATTTAGCCAAGGTCCAGGCCGGAGGCCAAGCCAAAATTCTATTGCCCACAAAAGTGAAAGTGAAAAGAAATGCAAAATTGCCAACGGCCATTAGTATTTATGTGTTCACATTTCTCACACACACTATCATTAATCAAATGCTCTGAATGTATACATATATATATATATATATTTCTCTTTTATACTCCCATATAGAACGCAATGCGGCGCTGGATACAAATACTCCGTGGCCGGCAAAGCGACGTCAGAATTATATATGCAAGAACATGAGCCTACTCTGCTGCGTGTCTCGCCCCAACTATCTCTGAGAGGAGGCCGAAACTGTTTAATCTTAAATGTCACACACTCATACACACACTACTTATATCAATTACTAGTGTTTAAGTTAAGCCTAAAGCTAAACACACATGTTAGAGCCTAAGTGTAAACAACTCAATTAGCAGAAAGGTCAAAGGACTTTTCACACAAAGCACTTCAAATGCTACCTAATATATATATATATGTATTTGGGAGAGCTGTGTATAATCAAAGTTAGTTATGCTGCATATACAATACATATTTAATGTAATTGCTCTCAGTTTTGGCATTCCGTTTGCCTCCGAGCAAAGATTCTAGAAGTGTTAAACCAAATAAAAATAAAAAGTCAAAATGACATTAGCTGAAAGTTGAGTTCAATTAAGCTGAGCTTTGCGTTTTGAGTAAGCTTTCATTCGAACACTACAATTCAACCCAGCAACAACTTTAATGCGCTTCTCAAAGCTCTGCTCACACTCTCAACTAATGTCATTGCAAATTTAACATTTATGAAGCAGTTAAGACTTTTTAGGCCTGTAAATTGTAGCAACTGTATAGAGTTATTTATTATATATATGACATATATGTAATTGTGAACACGACAAAACACATTCAATACCGTTGAGTTAACATTAAGATTAGACAAGCATTGAGCAAGGGAAGCAAGGCAAAAAACTTAGACGTAGTCTCAAATGATACTAGAATGGTAATTAAATTAAAAGCCTGTCCCAGACAGCGATCTGGGCATGTGTTTGAAGAAAAGCAATAAAATAGAATGTTGTTAACTTACACACACACAAACACACACACATACACAGTGAAAGCAAAAAAGTCCTTAGGTTTCTGTTAGTTTATTTCAAAGACAACAACAAAGTTGAACTGTGCGCAGTACCTAAAACAAAGAAAGTGCAACATGTGACCAATAAAAATGTTAATTAAAAGAGAAATTGTTCTTTAGATGTCAGTCCTATAAGCAACATGTTAAATAGTATAGCTATCCAGTTATTTACATATATATGTATATCAAATATATTCCACAGCCAATGCACGTCTATTAAAGCGCACTTAGCCACTATGGAATTCATAAGATTTAATTCATCAAATTTACAAATATATATATATAAAAAATTCAACTCAATTTCCTATCAAAAATTAATACATATATTCCAATTGATTAATCCACAGAATAGGAATTATATTGTTAAGTTATTTATTGTGATGCCAAAAAATAATATTAATTTCATTATTTATTTATCATTCGCTGTCGCTGCATATTTAATGCCTTTTATTGCTTTTGTTCAATATTTGTAAAATGTAAGCGATTCGTTTGTTTGCATTTCCTATACTCCGTTTGGCTTAGCTGTACAAAGAGTGTAGCTTGAATGCTTAGACAGTTTTTCATATAAGCTTCAATAATCACATTTTTAAATTTTGCTAATAACAATCGAGTTTCAGTCCCAAATTAAAGGCTTCGTACTTAAAATTGTTAAGCTCAATCCGAGACTATCTAAAATTTCTATATATTATGACTACTTTCCTATAATTATTCCATAATATAATTATATAATAATCGCGATCAACGTTGGGCACCTCTTATATCTAGACAAATCAATCTAATACGACGACAATATTTATTTCACATATTATCCATCGTACCATAGTAACAGGTAATTGTCTCCCTTGGGTAAAGAGTCGAAAGAGTGGACTTGCGTCATTGGTCGTCATGTTAATTTTATATCAAATTTAAATCGAAATTTCATTATTTCCAGGTTTCTTAAGCGCAAAATAATAAAAAATAAATGGAAAATCTTGTTGACTAATCGAACAGCAAAATATCATCAATGACTTAAGCAGCTGCTAAAATTCTAAAGTTGTATCACTCTGGCTTGGTCAGCCTCTATACTATGATTCTCATAGACTTCAGGCACAAAAACTATATACAAGAAATTCAAAACAACTCTAACTAATTTAAATCTCTCTTCTCAATCAAGAGATTAAAGAAATTTGCAATAATAAAATATTCACATATTTTGATTTCGATAAGGTAGGGTATCTTGTTAGCAAACACTCAGCACAGCCAACATTTTGAACTGTTCCATTATTTTTTGCATTTCATATTTAATAGATATTAATTAAAGGCACAGAAGTGAACAGCACAGCACATATTATTTCAATGTTGGCACAAATTATTTAGCAATTGAAATCGATTTGCAGTGCAAACAAAATGAGATAATCGAATCTGTTGATTGCTTGGCCCCAGCGAATAAAAAATTACAGCTTCAGTTGAATTGAACAAAAGATACAAAAGAATCCAAAAAAAGGCAAGTGCTTCTTTTGTTAGTAATTTGAATTAATTATTTATTTAATAAATATTCTATTGTAGGCATAAATCAAACACCAAAATACAAATTTATTTATGTATATTCATAGAGAAATTGATAGAAAGTTCATAATATCGGAAACTATAATTATTAGTCTACTCGTATGTACTTGTATGTACCTAAATAAGTTATATATACATGTAGTTATATATATATATATATACATATTTAGCACAGTGAAGATTGTTTTACTATATTGCAAAATAAATGAATTCATATAAATTAAATATACTAAATGTGATTGTTATATGATATTCATATACGAATTCAGTAAATGTTTGTTCATGTTATTTGCAACTAAAAATCTGATCAACTGATAAAAGAAATCCAAATATATATATATATAGATGAAACACAAAACAAATACCAAAACTTGGGGTACCAATCAAATATGAATAAAGATATTTTTAGAGAAACCAAAAAGCCAATTGCAAGTTTCATTTTTACCTCAATCTCACGCCGAGTTTAAGCCGCGAGCCGCGTAAAACTGCTGCCAACGTGTAACATAAAATTTATTACACTTCATAAAAGTGAGCGATTAACGTTTATGGATGTGATTTCAACACGAACCCGTGCACACACACGCACGCACGCACACCTCCATCGACACATTTTATATAATAGAAAAGCTTAAAACCCTCCTGCTACGTGCTCTGGCATTTACGCATTCGACAATAGATACATCTTAATCAATCTTAACCTGCACCCCGTCTAGCTAAAGGCAAATATAGCACCCCGACGCTCAGCTTAATTTAAACACAGCTAACGCTGCACAGAAGCCACTTCACAGGGTTCCAATTATTGACACTAGCTGAAAGTGACTAAAAGTTTCTTTTATAGAAAAAAGAAGCGTAAATAGAACAAAGATAAAAGAGTGTTTCATATAAACAAGCCAAATCCAATTTAATTTATGATATTAATATATATCCGGAGCTAAACATTCAATCAACTTTCAAAAGCTTTTCCTGGCAGCTTTGAATATTTAAACAAATCAAAAGTATTCAACTAAAGTTCTTAAAAGAAATATTTATTCTAAAGTAGCTAAAACAATTCTGAAGTTTAAGACAGTATAAAAAATTTTTAAGGTGCTTTTAATAGCTTTTTATTGATTTTTAAATATCGACAATATCGACATTTAAGCTTACTCTTTAGTATAACCACTTAAAGCTTTAATGTGCTTTTAAAAACTTTTTCATATATTCCAAACACAACATGTCATCAACATGTTTTACTTTAAACTACAATTTAAGCTAAAGCTAAACAGAAAGCACTCATATTTACTTTCTAATTCTGAAAACTCCAAATTATTCTCATGATTGGAAAGCCAACTTTCAGCTAATGTCATTGTAATTAATTCTGCTTTTGGTGCTCTACTCGTGCTTCCTTTGCATGGCAACGTGGACATAGTCTTAGAAACTGTATGCAAATTAGTTGTGAAACTTGTGCACCACCGCCACAAACGGTGCACCACAGTGACGGGCCACGCACTCGAAATGCTGTCGATTGCCTTTTGATGTGGCGGATGTGGTAGCGGACAGTGCGATGGGTGATAGCAGCCCACATTGAGTACGTGCCGCTTAAGCCAAATGCTACACTTACCGCACACTTCGACACCTTTGCAAACGGTAAAGCAGATCTGGCGTAGGGATTGAGGTGTTAATAGATTTACGTGGTTGTGACGTTGTGGCTGCGGCGGCTTCAACATTGAGCCAATGTACTTGTTTATTTAAACATGCCTCAGGAGCCAAATGACAATTCCACACGCAACTCTCGGCCGCGCCTGAGGCTCATTACGCTCAAATAAAAAGGCAGATAAAAAGTGAAAGAAAAACAAAACAAAACCAGCAGCAAACACAAGCGGAAAAAGTTTCAAAAAGCAAAACTGCAAAGTGGACATTATTTTATTTTTATACTTTACTTATATATTTTCATTTGTATTCGCATTCGCAATGCAGCAAGTCCAAGGACGAGGACAGATTGCCGGGGCAATGCCTCAGCGGCTGCTGAGACAGTGCGACAGGACGCTGTCTGGCTGCTTCTGGGTCTCTGTCTCCCTCTCTGTGTGTGCGTGCTGTACAAAACCAAAATAAATGCCAACAAGAATAATTCCCGGCTAATCCGATTTAGTGCGCTGCCTGCTTCACGAGCAAACAAATACAACAATAAAGAGACAGAGAGAGAGAGCCCACTTGATTATATGCCACCACAGCCATTGTCTGTCCAATGGCCAGAGCATTTAAGTGCCCAGTTTGCTGGCCGGCAAGCCAGTTTGCTGCCTGACGATAAGCCAATTCACAGTGGTAAACATAATGTAGTATGTGCATTTATCTAAACTGAGCAGCTAAACAATACTAATTTTGCATAAAGATTTTCATAATCGGGAATTTAACTCTCGGATGTGGAATTATATATTTCCGTGTTATAATACAATTAAATTTGTCCTTAATATAAATAAATGATAAGCTTTTTCAATAAAATATATTTGCAAGTTAACCAAGCAAGAGTGATAATATTTGTGATAATTAAATTACAATAGTTATCAAGCTGTTGACAACATTTATTTGTGGATATATTAAATTATATTTGCCATAATATAAATAAAAATGGTGGAGAAGAGCGACATTTGTATTTGAGTGACATGGATTTGTATGAGCGAACATCTTAGCACACTCTCCACTCTGAACATGTCACAAATCATGTAAAAATTAACATTTCGAGATTGAAATCAGAAGTGATCGCTCAGGTTTTACTTGTGCTCCCGGAGAGAAGACTACTATCTAA